AGAGAGAGAGAGAGAGAGAGAGAGAGAGAGAGAGAGGCCCATTGAGGGGAATAAAAATAGACGTGCAGTGCACACGCCACGCTGCGCCACGCCTCGCGGCGGTTTTGCAATAATCTTCTCTTATGTGATGCGACTCACCGCGTGCCGGCGCAGCGACACGTGTGCACCTCTCAGCCACTCACGCAAAAACAAGTGCGTTTGCTGGATTATTAAATAGCAATTGTGACAGTTTTTGTGTCCTGCCTAAATAATAGCGTAATTTCAGAATACAGCTTTGACGAACGTGTCGTATTTTCTTTTTTTCATTTTATAAGAAAACAATATCAGATTTGCAAACATGTATATTGCGATACCACATGCGGATATTGCACAAACTACGATATCACCAGCACTCCCCATGGCACCGCCCCTGCAGCCCCTGCAGCGCCCCCGCCGTAAAGGCCCTCCTGCCGCTCATAAAGAGATTGTCTGTTTGTAACTGTGACACGTCTAAAAATAACCCCCGCGACACAATAGCGCACCCGGCCAAGGACGCGAGAGAGGTACCTGAGGTACCTGCAGAGTGGAGGTGAGGCACTAAAAGGTACTGCATCGCCACCTTCGCAGGAGAATGGGGCGCCCCTATGGCCTACGAGCGAAAAACAATAAACATGGAGAGTAATAAGAAGAAAGATTATATCGAGGGCGTCAGACGACATAACTGAGCGTTTTGCAGTGTCTCAAGGATCTTAATCGCACTTTCAATATCTACTCACATGGAGACCTCTGCTAATCCTCAACTGACATCATCGTCATAAGTATCACGGCCCCTGCACCAGGGCTGTCCCCGCTGCTCTGCGGTCCTCACGGCTCGCTCTAGGAATAGGGCACGGCACCAGGCGAACACGCTCGACTGAACTGCGAGGTCAAAAGTCCTTCGGCAACAGGCCCCGCCCACACGCCCCCGCCGCGCCCCGCCACGCCCTCACTCAGCCCGATGCAAATGGAACGCCCTTTGGGTAGCCGTAGCGACGGCCGCAGAGCCCCGCGCTTCACCAGTCAGCACAATTTGTGTTGCGCGGGGCTTATAAATACGGTAATCACACACCGGGGAAGGGAAAGCGCGACTCACCGGGAAATGCAATGCGAGAAAATGCGTCAATCCGACTTCCCGCCCTCGCAGCTCGGCATAGGTCGTGGGTGAGAGAGAGAGAGAGAGAGAGAGAGAGAGAGAGAGAGAGAGAGAGAGAGGCGGGGAACGGACTAAATGCCACCTCAGGCTCGGGAGGGTCGCAGGTCCTAAGATAGTAGCGACAGTGCGTACACTCGTACAATTCGATGATTTCGATGCATTCATATCTCAAATACTATAGAAAATGTTCCAACAGGAAAGGTGTCTGGAGGAGCCCTATGGAGAGCTGTGACAATTTGTCGTTCAAATTATTGATAATGCTCTTTTCCACAGAGGGCTCTTACATTGGAAGACAAAAGTGAAAAAAGGAGGGTGGGGAGCCTGGAAAGACCTTTGATGAGGACCGTAGAGATTGTAGCCGCTCAAAGAGATACACCGCGGTTGCAGCGTAACGCACTGCGTAGCGCGGCGGGTGCGTATAAAACAGAGCAACCTGAAGGGACTACTATCCTTCCGTATCCTTCCAGATCGGAGGTGTCGTGACGCAACTCGAGTACAGCTTAGTGGAAGTTGATTGGCGGTCTAGGCGAGCGCGGTCCCCGCGGCAGGCCGGCGAGCCGCCCTTGAAACAATCTCCTGCAGCCTGCGGAGCCCTGGGGGAGCCTGCGCGCCCTTTCCTCCGGGGGCGAGCGGCAAGAAGCAGAAGCCCCGCCGCCGTCACCTCCACCAGCTCCTCAGCCCGGCTCAGCCTCACAGCCGCGCGGCGCGGCGCGCGAATGGCAATTTGCAATTAATTCTGTTTGTTCTCACACCGGCGGTTGATTGCGGCGGAGGTTTTTCCCGCGCCAATCCATCCACGTTGCATACGCCGTCGTCACACGTCACGGCGGCAGTGTGTCACACCGAGAGAGAGAGAGAGAGAGAGAGAGAGAGAGAGAGAGAGAGAGAGAGATGTAAAAACGTGTGCCGCGAAGGAAGGAAGTAAGGTGGTAGCGGCTAAGCGGCGTCTTGCTCGGCTTGCTCTGTTCGCCCTCTCACCCTTCCCCTCTTAGGCCTTCGTTCAATGTCACCTGTGCGTGACTGCTCAACCCATCCCGTGCATTAAAGCAGGCAGGCGCCACCTCGTGTGGGTACCACACTCGTGGGTGCCAGGGTACCGTTCGGGGTTAGAGGGTTACTTTGCCATCCCCGTCCCATAAGATCAATTGAGAGAAATTTTCATAGATCCGCAAACATATTTTCAGGATGAGTCATGTTAGAACAACAGTATAGAGGATCGTCTTCATCGTGAAGAACTGAAGCAGAAGGCGTGGTCAAGTCAAGAAGTGAGATAGGTCATGGAATTTGGGCGCCAAGCCATCCATTCGAATTGGCCAGTGGTCCAGCAGGGGAAGGTAGGTGTGGGTTCTCCCCCGCTCTCTCTCTCTCTCTCTCTCTCTCTCTCTCTCTCTCTCTCTCTCTC